TGACCACTTGTAATCTCACTTGGAGATAAGGAAGAACTAAAGAGTAGCAACATTGCAAGGGAACGTCATAACAAGCCACCGAAGAGAGACTGGAAAATCACGATACACTGCAAGTAAGTCCTTACAGCTAGTACTCATTCTTGATTTCTCGGCTTATGTAGAAGACGGACGGATTAAAGTCCAACTACGGAAACTTCCCGGACATACTCTAGAACAAGACCAGCTACAAAAGCCACATTGGCTTCTCAATCTCTCCAACTACAAGTTGTTCCCGCCACAGATGGCACACAGCTTCGCATAATCTCCATTTAGGCTCTCTTACGACCGATATTTAGAGGCAACTACACACGTGTTAAGATAAACACAATAGCATCGCAGTGTTCAATCAGAGCACTACAATCACCATAACCTCTTAGTGATAATATTCAATAGATTATAACCTACTTCTTGTTACAGTAAATCATAATCTCACCAGTGACATGCAGAGAATAAGAAATTTATTATCCTCTAATTATCCAATGAATAGATATATCAACACCACAAGATTATTAAGAAATATAAAGATCATTTGTAAGTTAACCAAGGTTAATAATTCCCATTGGAAATAAAGTAAAATAAATGAATCAAACAGCAATAATAAAGATATGTGTTAATTATTGAATCGATGCATTAACCCTTTACTTGCCCGGCAACCCCACACAACATCTAGTGGGTTTTTTGTTCTAAGTTGATTTTTGCACGTTTGGCTGACGAGTCAGATTGTGGAATTATTTTCCGAACAACTAGCGTCCTGGTAATCTTGTAAGGACTGGCAATAATTGAGTATACTCATAATAGTATGGATTTGCTATATTTATAATAGTGTCATTCTAGTCTTGAAGGACTGGAAATAATTAATAGCTTGCTAATTTTGTAAAGATTAGCAACTTACTTTGCAGAGACTTTATTTACTCACAGTGATGCAATAGCCTTTATTTGATCCTGAGATGAGTAGTTCACCATCCGGAATGCTCCTTGTTGATGACGATGATTTATTCTTGCTGATTTTTCATGGATCAGTAATGTTTAAGCACACTGCTTACTAGGGAATGTGTCTTATATAGTCTGGCATCTTCTTGATGTAAAGGAGATAGTGCCAATCATTCTGCAGAATTGACGTGTCTTCCTTCCATCGAAGCCATACTTACAGTTTGATCATTATAGTATCAAGAGTAGGGGCCTTCCTCCTTCATCCTTTGCTTCTCCACTTACAGAACGCTTGTATCTATGTCATCCCCACTTATAAGGCCTCTGACCAAAACGTCTCCACTTAGGAAACGCCTTTGTCTTAGGTTTCTCCAATCAGAGAGAGAGAAGTTTTCTCGTGGCTTTCCCGCCAACCGGAGCACTTAACTGAAGCGTCTTCGCTTGACTTTTCCAAACGGCAGCAAAGTTAGGCTTGATAACAGTGGATGCGTTGTGTACCGTTAGATCGGAAATGTTTAACTACAACGGTTTTTCGCACATGTTTAACGACTTGAGTCTTTCCAGATATCTGACACTCGCGAAAGGTTCTCGCAAGGTCGAACAATAATTTATAATAAAATTTCAACCAAGGTCGTTTAACATAATGGAATCACTAAAAATAAATACTATAATGAAAAGTAAAAAATAAAATAAATATTAATTAAAATATTCCAATCCTTTCTTTTATTTCATGAATAATTTATGATATAATAAAAATTAATTTCAATATTGGTTTAGTTTTTATTTTAATATATATGATAGCAAAAACTACCACTTTTATTATTTATTCTTTGTCACTGGTAATATACAATCTGGAGTACTCATGAAAGAGTTAACAGAAATGTATCGTATTAAATTATTAAGCTGTTGACTTTATATGACATAGGAAATGATTGATATAACATTAGACAATTCTAGAGTTTATAAAACTAGAAATTTTTAACACATTTTTAAGAACATTATTAAAGTAGAGGATATAATATTACTTATAATTTTAAATAATTATATTAATAACATTTTTTAACTGTACGTGACAAATTCAATTTTTTTATTAAAATATTATCATTTACAAATATATAAAGCATAAAATAATATTTGGCATAGCAACAGATACCAGATCGCTACCGCTAAAACATAATCTGAATAACTAATATAATTTTATTTTTCCTTTTTCCGTAATAAGTGATTTTACAGTAGTGGACAGTGATTATTCATTATTTGTTCTCACATTGACATCTTACTACAAAATTTACTATGAATATATAGATGGGATGAGTGCACAATATTGATATTTATAGAATGTTCAGGATTGGAGCACTTTCCAAGAAAATTAATTCTCCGAAATTTATAATCGTTCTAGCACAAAATCGTAAACATTGATTTCGAAATTTCTCGATCATTTTAAAGCCTTTACTTGCGGATGTCCTGTAATGTTTATCAAGTCCCCGCGTAGGAACGACGGTTAGAATCCTCCAACTGTTTAAAGTTTACTTTTCTAGAAATCTCCAAAATTCTAAAGGTTTAGTCTCGAAGCCTGTACAATTCTCCGCATAGCAACAGCTGCCCAATGTTGCCAGATAACCAAACTCGTTCGAATATTTAAAGCAAACACGCGTCAAAGCACATGCACTTGCTTCAGTCATCTAAGAGGAGACACGCTGTTCTGCAAGACGCCATTACATTTATTACTGCATCCAGAACTGCATTTTGAATTATGGCGCCGCATCTTCTGTATTAAGACGTCACTATATTCTGTGCTACATCGGTACCAAGACGTCACTGCTTCCGGAACTGTGTTCTGGATTAAGGCGACAATGCTCGCTCAATCTTGATAAGTGCCACAGCGCGCACTACCAAGATCCACCGAGGTATTGAATAATTTATATTTATTAATTAAGAGGAGACTCTCACTTAAAACACCACATATGGCTCTATACAAGGAATGAAGGATTTAAGACCTTTCACTTCTCAGTGTAGTAATTTCTACCAAGCGCACTATACCCGGAGATTTACCACCTCTAACCCCGACATGCAGTGCATGCTACCTCCACGTGAAAAAACCATTAAGAAACGGTAAAATCTCAACGATTGTCACCACCAACGTAGAATCATAATTGAGTATTTGTAAAATAATACTGAATAAATAGCACGTAAATCAAATGTGTTAATTATTGAATTGAAGCATTAACCTCTCACTTATTCACACTGTTCCATTAGTAAAATGATAGATGTGGTCTAATCCAACCATCTTGGTCCTTCGACCACCGAGTGGCTGGAATTCCAAACATATAATATATCTAAATAATTGTTAAATCTTGTTTATAATATTTATATATTGTAAAAATTTATATAATCTATTTTGTTTTAAATAAAATAATTTTATTTATCATATATAATTTCCATTTATAATTTCGAATGATCAATAATATTACTTTTGATAACAGCGTGTCTAACATTTTTAAACTGTTATTATTTTGTAATAAAAAGATTTATTGTTATAAACATTCTACAGCCGTAATGGTTTTGTCATAAAATTATTAATATTTTTAAATTATCATAAAGGACTCTACATTATTGTACAATTGGATATATGTACAAATTTACTACAATTTAATATAATTTTTAATACGATTAAATTGTATAGTTTCATAGTTGATTTATATGGTTTTATACAGTTATATATTACAAAGATACATTGTTATCTATTTAAATAAACAAATTTATCTAAGTTCTATTATTATTGCATATATCATTTTTAAATACATATAATCACTATTTTTTATCAAAAAACCAAATAATTATATTATATGTAATATTAAAATATCAAGAATAAACATGATATTTGTATTAACAATATTTTGATACATATCATTACTATCTGTTTGAGATTGTACGAATGGTCCTTGCCAATAAAACATCTGGCAAAACAAGATGATGAACTCGGGAAAACCCAACTCATTAGGCATCTGGACGGATTCGTTCCGCTCAGTAACTACTTCAAGCAGTATGTACTAGCGACCCCCCCTCCCACTGTCGACAAGTTGTCATGCGGTCGCCAGATGCGTCAGAGCAACGAGAGCTCTTTTTGTCGTGAAGACCAAGAGACGACTACGTCCTTAATTAATTATGAAGCCACAAGAGGCGCTGCCCACGTTCTGTAAGGGAGGAGTCTCTCATTGGACGAAAAATAAGGGAAGGGGTTCAAGTGAAGTTCATGACCAGCTAATATATTTAAGAGGCGCATTTTTCAATATTCAAATACTCTCAATAAAGTCTTTATTAAAATAAGAAGTGGAAGTCCATTAACGTAGTTCAAGAAAACGGTCGTTCCAGTCCTAAGGAACAGAAGACATATCCGCTTATCGGAGTCCGAAAACTAGTGTCCAGAGGCAATCCTCGTCAAGAAGGTCACGGAACAATCTCCCTACAGAAATTTACTATTCGTCTTCTTAAGTAATATCACTATTAGCATAATCAATTAACATTTACAATTCAGAAAATAGATCATTGACAAGCAACCAAAGAAGAAGAGGCTCTCACCAGAGAGACAGTGCGGAATAATTCCAACCTCGCCGTCAAGCTCGCGTCAGCTTATGCGAGTCTTGCCGGCCTTGCCCTTACCTTAGTTCAAAGTCTGACGCTTATGAATCTACAGCGTGCCATTCAACGCTCATAGCAAACGCAACACGTAGCAGTATCCTTCACGAGGTAAAAGCCCTTCAAACTCTCACTTCCATCTGAATCTATTGCAGTACGCCAATATCAGAACAAGGTGCGCTTGCTACGATACGAGTATATTCTCAAGTAACAACAATTACATGCGTCGCGCTCCATTACAACCATAACCTCAACTACGCACGTGTTCACACAAACAGCGCGAGTGTCGACGAATCAAACTTCGCGCCATTTTGCGCTCATATTCAAACCATCACGCTGCATTAGATGAGTGTACGTTTGCCACCGCAAATGCATCACTCCACCACAAGAGTCATTTCAATAATTAATAATAGTAATAGTAGTCAAGCGCTGTAATTGGATAAATAACAGAATAAACAGCATATACACCAGCCATATTTGTATTTATATTATAAATCCCTTCCACTTGTGACCTTTCATCGCTATCATACAACATCCGTGGTTTCTGAGTTGTCCACGACATCAATTTGTATCCTCAGAACTGGTCTTGGTAAAACAAGCCGGAACCGCGAATACATTTTGTACACTATCATATATATGAATTTGAATTTTTTAAAGCATTTTTTCAATTTTAATATTTATTTATATTAAATATGATAATATAGATAATTAAACTATAATTTATTTAAAAAAACTGATATGGAAAATAATTTGTGCTTCAATAATATTTTTCAAAACGCATTCAAATTCCCAATTACATTTTTTAAGTATATAACTATATTTTATAATTAATATTTTAATTAATTATAATTAAAAAGATTTATTTGGAATATTTTATGTTTTTAAAGTAAATTTTCTTAAATATAGTAATAACCGATTTATTTAGAATAGGATTTACAATTTACAATCTCAACTATTTACGATTAACATTAATATTCCTTTTAAATAAAAATATAATATTGAAAAAGCAAATTATTAAATAGTATTTTGTAATACTTATTAATAATATAAAATTTAAACATAATTTATATCCCATTTATTTCTGTATTTATACAAATTTATTACATATAATCCATCTTTATTATTATATACAAAATGTAAATTGTTTTATCAATATTCAATATAGCAATATGTAAGAAAACAGAGAAGCTTTTAAATTAATAGCCAATTAAAAAAAATGATAGAAGAGGAATGTAAAAAGTAAATGTAGAGAGAAGAGATATTATATACTTCTGATTTAAACATAAGCAAATATATCAAGGTAAACTGTAAATGCAAATATGACTAAATAAGCATGTACATACATATACTATTTTTCCTTCACCTATCGCCATATCGACTTCAAATTGATTATAAATTGTACGTACATTCAATAATGTAGTTCACATTTGCTATGTATTGCATGCGAGGGTGTCAGTAGTAACCTATGGCGCAGCTACTTTTGGATTGAATATGGGCTGGAACTGAATGTTCGGAACATTGAACGACGGAATGTTAATTTTAGTATCTTAAAAGTATTTGACGTGGTTTTATTGTATTCGATTAGTACTATATTTTACAACTACCTGATATTTTAATCCAGCATCATTTAATTTATTTGTAAGTAATTATGAGATTAAATTTTTAAGTTTAGTATTGATTTCGTTCAGATCTAATAATAGAAAAGCATTTACTTATGTTCAATTTCTAAATTATTATGAAAATAGATATTTTTATAATTTTCATATAAAAATATTTTTATATTTCACTATTTTTAAATATTAACCATTTCCAAGTTCCTAAAATTAACCTCACAAATTATATTATAAAAATTAAATATTTTATGTTTAAAAAACTAAAATAGACATGATCCATACTTATAAAAATATGTGTATTGTAAAAGATTACACACATGGGTACGTGTGTGTGTTTATGCCTATTAGATATTGCAATGTTTGTTATACAAACAGTATACTATAAAATATACGTAAAGATAAAACACTATAATTAATTGTGTATTTGTTTTGTGTAATCAAAAAAATCATTTGAAAGAAAACAATTAAAATAATTTCATATTGGTTTTATAGTTTATTTTATATTTAAAAATTAATGTGCAATAGATATAAAATAGAAATAAAGTTTCATAATTTTCATTAAAAAAGAGTGCTTTTAATATTGAAGTAAAATATTTTGTATTCTTATTATTCTTGTATAATAGAAAAAGTTACTAGACATAATTTATATACCTTTTGTAATTTTGGTGTTCACATAAAATTATGTATCTTAATTGTTTTTAATTAAATTAACAGAGAATTATTGAGGAAATAGCAGTAGGTAATAGTCTATTTTATCACTTTACAACGTAAACTTTATTTTGTAATAAGCTGTCGAAAATATATTTACATTAATAAATAATATTTTTAAATTAGAAACAAATTATTTATTTAATATATAAAATATAATAAATTATGATAATATTATCAGAAAGTTAGAATTGCAATAATTCTTTATATTTTATTTAATAAAGTAGAACCTATATATAAAGTATATTTTCATTTTATTTGTTATTTTGAACTTATGTCATTAATTGCTATTATCTATATTGTTATTGTTAATGCTCTTTCTATAATTGAGACATAATCTAAACAAATATATATTTTTTTAAATTTTTAAATTATTAAAATATTGTAATTTTTTCAGAACAATTTGATATAATATCTTATGATAACATTGCTAATATTAGTTTCATATATTATCTTGTATAAAAATTTACTTTAAAAAGCTAGAAAAAATATATATATAATTGTAAATAAAGTATATTGTATAAAAAACAATACTGAATTTAAAAAATTCATTAATTTTGCATAAAAAAATTAAAACTCTAAAATATCACTCAATTTTTTGTACATTTTTAATTATGAAATAACCATACTACTTAATTTGCTGAAAGTGTTTTTATATAATTTGAACAATTAACAATAAATTTGAGAAAGTGGTTCTGTTTGATTTATATCAGTGTATAAATATTGTAAATTATAGAAATCAACTGCGATTAAAATGCACATTATTATATTAATAAACAAAATTATTACTTTCAAATTAAAATGCTTATTTCATTTTTTATGTAGAGATTAATATACAGATATGTAGAAATTAAAAACATGCTTTGTACTTATATTCTATTAATAAATTTATATATTAGCAAATGATTGAATGATTTATCAATAATGTAATCAGATTTTTTTAATGATACCTTAATTACATATTTTAATTATAACTATAATTATTTTGTAAAGGAACTTTGAAAGACTCCTAATAGTATGTGTTTTGTGTACAGATTTATAGCCATATAGAATATAAAAATAGTAGTTCTAATTTTAATTTATTTTAAAAAATTTTCAAGTTTACTTCAATTATGGAGATTTGGGGAAAATTAATTTTATGTATAAACGAAAATTTTAATAATAAATATTAAAGATTACAAAATGTTGAATAGTTAAAGTTAATTATTAAATTTTTACAAAAATTACTTCAAAATATTTTGATATCTCATTCAGTTCATAGAAAATGAATTATTTGTCTTCCTAATGTTTTTAACGCTCAATTATGTAGAAGTGATTATAAATATATAATTATAATTATGTAAAAAAGAATACAAAATTATTATTGATGTTCTTTATTTTTATACAAGTATAAAAAAAATATATTATTTTACTTTTGGAAATATAATATACTTTAAACGATTAACATGGACAAAATATAGACCTTGAAAAATCAAATGTTTTATTCATATTTTTTAAAATGTATTTTAAGTTGAATATTAAATTATTGAACTTGTTAATTACACCTCAAACCCTTTATAAATATTTATATTAGTTTATAATAAACTTCAAATTAATTGATTATAAACTTTGTATTGAAATGTTCAAAGATTAAATTAAAAAATTAAAATAAAATTTCAAATTAACAAAATTTAGAAAATTTTAACCCAAAAGAAAAGTATACAATTCCCGAAAGTTATTTTTATATTTAATACTATATAATCGTAATAATGAAATGATAAAGGATTTTTTTTCAATCTATAATAAATAATTTTTTTATTTTAATCTAATTAGAACAATTAATTTATTTTGTTTAATTAATTAATTTATTATTGTATTCTGTTCATAAATCTGTCGATAACGCTTTATCTTTATAAATTGGAGAAAATAGTAAAAACAGATTTTCAAATCAGCAAACTTTTAAAAAATAATAATCCTAATAGTCAAAAAATAGAAAGTAAATACAAAAGATTTAAGCGAAGAGATATAACATTTCAGTTATACTATGGTACAAATTCGTTATAAACCAGAGTTCTATTTTATAGTTTAATCAAAATTTATTCTATATAGTATAATAACAGAACAAAATAATTTATTTAAAGTTTTTGTACCTGTCATAAATACTTTTAATATTATTAGGAAAGCTTCCATAACCAAGACGTTTACAATTTCGATGTACACTACCTTTATTATAAAGTGGATAAATACTGATATTTAATATAAGAAAAACGCTACAATATTGTATTCTAATATTACTAATTTTCGTATTTGAAAAAGAATAATACCTATGTTATAATTTTGTATATGATTTTTGAGTTTATGTATGTTAAACTAAAAATATTAAAGTTTGCTTTTACACGTAAGTTATTTCTACATTTCTCGTTTGTTGTATGATCTTTAATAGCCTATTCAGAATATAAATTAGAAATTTTTAATTCTTTCTTGAGTAGTTTTTGAACATTTTATAAATCGTTTATTTTTAGAAGCTGAATAAATACGCTGTTTAATTTAAATATATAACTAATACCACAAAATTTTAATAAATTGTGAATGTAATAAATTGATCACAGAAAATATTAACTTGCACAAATATTCTTATATTATCAGAAGATATTTAATCTTATAACTTGACATTGAGTATTTCCGTTTTGTACAACTAATTTAATTTTTACATTAATAAACTTTTTAATTAATTTTCATCTTTTGCTTAAATTAGCATAATTTCTTTTAATATAAAAATTTGTTAGGCATATTTTAATAAGTACAAAAACATGGTCATTTAATACATTCTAGAAAATTGTTTGATTTATTCATATATTCATTTCATTTGTATTCAATTGCCTAAATTGTTGAATTTGTCAATTGCATATACTTTGAAAAAGAGAGTATTAACTAATAAAAGATTATAACTATTATTTTTTAAATTAATATATATTAATTTATATTAAAAGCGAAACTTTTTAATGATTTTTAATGGTATTAATCAGTTTTTATATATTTATTGACTTGTTTATTCTAACTATAATTATTCTTCATAATAAATTTGCTTTGTGTAAATGTTAGTGAACAAATTTTCTATAAAAATATTTTTGTATTAAAAATAACAGTATATAATATATTTATTTTTTATAATTATAGTCAAGATTTCTCTCCGAATTTATTTCAGTATTAAAAATGTTGGACACTGTAGCTTATAAATATTCTGTATTTTGTTAGACCTAACATTTTAAATATATAAACATCTATTCCATATCCTTTTTAATCCCTTCATAGATTTAGCTACTACATCTTATATATTTATAAATTTTAATTAATTTTGAAACAAATGCTTCAAGAATATTTGTAAAAAGTTATAATAAAGAAATAGAAAGGACCTAACGTATGATTTTCCCACTACTCGATGATATACTTAGTTTATTTTTGTAACTATATTTCGAAAACTATTATTATTATAAAGAAATTAAAAACAACAAAAATGTTCCTGAAAATATACTTCTATTATAATAATTGATACTAATGAATAAACGTAACATGTATATTATTTGAATATATCAAATTACTATAATATTTTCTTATTATTGTACGAGAGTGTGGTTTTTAAATTGGATAATTTTTTTATTGTAGTAGATGGGTTTTAGTAAAAATTCTTAATTCTAATTACTTTTTCATATAAATTTTCTTTTTATACTTTAGAGTTCATACATCTATCAGATGCAATTTACTTCATCTGGTGAAAAATATTTAAAATTAATTTTGTAAAAGATTTATGTTAGAAAAATAAAATCTATTTACAAATCGAATAATTATTTTAAGTACTTTTGTGAAAATCTATTTAAAAATTCAGTTTTTTATTTCTTTAAAAAAGAGATTCTTAAATTATGTTGCAAAATTGTATTCGATGCAACAATACTAAATTGATGTTTAAGATTAAACAAGGAAATAATCTATCCATATATTTTTGTTCTTATTAATGATACAGTAACAAATATGACAAGATATAGCATTCCACTTAATATATGCAATAGTAATAGATATTTTTAAATACCTTATCTTTATGTAAATATAATTGATTTAATTGATTCACAGATATATAATTTTTCGTTATTTTTATTTTTATAAAATAAATACAAATTCAAAAAAATGTTTATAAACTTTAAGAAAGAATATAAAAATATAAATATAAAATAGTTTAGTAATATAAATTCAACAAAGATGATGATTGACATCATCACGATAAATAATTTGATAAAATTAATTATTAATATTTCAAAATTATTAAAAGAAAAAAAAGTATTGCAT